AGTATCTTTCATGACAGCACACCTCTGGCCTGGGTTGGGACACTTCCTTTGTGCTGTAGGTCAGTGGCTTCCCTCAACTGGATCAGGCTGAGACCTAAGAATGGACATGGAGTCACTCCCCCGTGGTTGGAGCAGCCTACAGCTCTGACAGTTTCTTCTGTGAATAACAAAAACAGCAAGGACTTGGTGTCTTGTCTTGGAATAACTGCAACAGCAGATACTCACCAAACGTCAGCTTTGTGCCAGACATGTAGGATCTCACTTCGCCCTCACATAAAACTCTATGAAGTACTGTCATCACACTGTCCCCATTTTACTGAAAAGCAAACGGAACCGGTGAGATAGACCAAGTCACTTGCTGAATGTAACTCAGCTTGCAAGGGGGCAGAGCTGGGATTGGAACCCAGGGCTGTGTGGCTTCCAGTGGAAACGCCCACAACCACTGCCTGATAGTGGCTCCCGTGGGGAATGTGTGTCATGGAAAAGGTCAGATCTTGAAGAGTCTGGCCTGCAAATCCTGAACTTGGGGCCAAAGGCGAGGCAGTTTGTCTCCATTTTACAAATGGAAAAACTGAAGCTCGGAATAACTTGCCGAAGGTCTCACAGAGCGGAGGTGACCAAGTCTGAACTTCAGCCGGGGTCCCTCTGGCTCCAGTCTATAGGCTAACATCTTAATGCTTAGCATTTCTGGGCACGTCCTGGGTGTTTAATTTCAATATTTGTGAACTAAGACGGAAGTTTCAGCTCTCTGCTTCAAGGAAAAATCTCTATGTCCCTGGCAAGCAAAATAAACCAGCCAGCTCCTTCTCGAGCGGATGCCAAATTAAAAACTCAGGGAGGAAAAGGAAAAGAGGTCAGAAACGACGGCAACCCTGGTACAGCGTCGTGGCTAAGAACAAGGGGCTGTGACGGCAGACTAACAGGGTGGAGAGCACCCTCATTTCACACCTAAGGAAAAGGAGGCCCAGGAGAAGGGCCCCCAGGACGTGGAGAGGGAAGCACAGCACTCCGGGGCTG